GTCCCGTGGATTTTCCGGGCGCGATCTCACCCCAACATCTGGGAAGCGCAGTGCTCCCACGGCGAACCCGTGGCTCCCCGACGAAGGTGCGGAGTTAAAAACTAGTACCTATGAGGTACTAGTTTCCTGAAACCGCGGGCCAAGGGCAGGCGTCTGATCGCGTTCCCGGTGGACTTACGTGGCATCCGGTGCCCACCGCTGTTCGTCTCCGCAGGTTGCGCAACAGCGCCCAACAGCACATGCGCACAAAGAGCAATTGCTAGTGCGATCGCGCCACGCGGCTTCTGTGCCGCGCTGCAGGATACCCGTCTGATCGGCATTTCCCCCGAACCACGGGACCTTGACCAGGACGTGTGCTCGGGCAGCCGCACGTTAGTTTCCTCCGGGGCAATTAGCCACGCCTCCCCCCCGCGATATCCAGCCCATGTGACCAGGGCCTGAGAGCTTGGGCTGTAAAGAACAGGAGCAATCTCCTCTTTTTCTCTGCAGTCCAAGCTAGTAGTTTGGGTGAAGAGACGGGAAATCAGTTGGGCTTCTGACATCCCCTACACACACACATACACAACCAATTGCTACATCTCAGCAAATCTGGGATGCATTAAAGTTTACAGGATGGGAGATCAGAAGAGCCTGACTTGTGGCCAATCCCTGTGATCAGTTGGCAGCTGGCTTCTTGTGAAAGGATGCAAACAGGCTGTGAACAGCTAACAGCCTGTCACTTAACTGGCTGCCTGACTTTAATGTTCTGCCATCAGAGGTGCTTTTAGGGAGGCACTGCTAGATACCACATGTAGACAGACTTTGTCCTTGCTCTCTAAAAGATATAGAATCCACTACACACACCATACTTCATTGCCCCCTCTATAATAGGGATATCCGATCTCCTTTTGTTACTCCATTTCTAGAGGGTAAGAGGGGGAGCTGCGGTGGCTCAAGTGGTTAAGATGCTGAACTGCAGGCTGTGGAAGGTCAGTAGTTCAGCAGTTCGAGACCCGAGTTGCCGCATGACGGAGTGAGCTCCCATCTCTAGTTCCAGCTCCTGCCAACCTAGCAGTTCGAAAGCAAGAAATTGCAAGTAGATAATAGGTACCACTTCAGTGGGAAGGTAACAACGTTCCATGTGCCTTGGTGTTTAGTCATGCCGGCCACATGACCATGGAAACGTCTTCGGACAGCGCTGGCTCTTCGGCTTTGAAACGGAGATGAGCACCGCAACCCTAGAGTCGGATTCGACTGGCTTTCGAGCAAGGGAACCTTTACCTTTAGAGAGTAAGAGCTAGCACTCTGATGACTCAATTGTTCACTTTCTTCTGTTTAATTCTAATTGCGAAATAATGGAGGCTGTTGCAAAATTTTTATATTATGTAATCAGAAGATGAGGCTTGAATAGCCAAGTGTAAGTGACTGATGCATCTCAGTATTTTCCCGTATTTCCATGATGTTTTGTGCTTTCATGCCAATAAAGATTTTGTGTGAGCGTGTGTGTGTGTGTAACTGGCTGCCTAACTGCTACTGGGTGGTGGTCAAACAGGTCTTTAGATCCGCACCGCACAAGTGCCTGGTGGATCTAAAGGGAATGATCAGACACTGACATCTGGGAAACGTGTGGCTTCCGTGATCAACCCGTTCAGCCCCGCCAGGGAACCATACTTAAAAGATACTATTTAAAGTCTGGGGCTAATGCTTGCTGATGGGCCAATGGCGGACTTTCCCCCGTCTAATCGTTACAGTGCGCAATCCTCCCGTCGGGATGGTCTGACTCCAGACCATCCCGAGCAGGCGCCATTTTAAAAAAAGTCTTAGCGATATGCGCATAAGTGGGTATACGTGCAACAGCCGCAGAGCTCAGCTCAAACGTCCCAGACAATTTTGTGTTTCTTAATTGCCCGTGAATTTTATGAACTGTATTAATTAAAAAAGGTACCTAGAGGGAGGTACCACTGGCGGTGCTTTAACCATTAAGTTACGTGCATGTGTGGAAAAACAAGTACACGTTGAGGCGTGGAGGCGCATGCACAAACAGAATTTTTTTAAAAACCTGACTGCACGGCTCCTTCAGGTGGACACCATCTAGACAATCCACCGCGGAGTACACACACGGTAAGGGGAGCAGCGCCGGATGAAAAATATCTGGATCAAATTAAAGCCGGGTCAATGGCGGGATTAGATTCCCGTCTGAACGCAGCTCTGGAGAATCTGATATGAAGCATCCCCACTGACAACTCTATTATCACAGAAGCCCCATGACTTGAGATGAAAACATGTGTCTTTTTTTTAAGCTGAACAGTGCCCCCTTCTTCTTAGACTAAGTTCTCTGGAGTTAGAGGAAGGCTCACTATGTCCAAAATTTCTGATACAAAGAGACAACAAACTACTAACCCATTGGACATTTTGACATAATGCCATCTTTAAGACAGAGAACGGTGATGACTCCAGCACTTATCTTGAACTATACATATTTCTTCTGGCTATTGCTGTGAAGCCATGTGACAGTTATATACAGAGCAGTCCGCTATCCAAAGATGTTTGCTTGACTCAGGTCAAGTGATTCTCTTCCTTATTCTTTCCATTGGCATTTCAAATTATAGCAAATTCAGCTACTATGAAATGGTTTGGCCTTGTGACTCAATATCAACACCACACCAGAACTATAATGTTACATCATAGTTTGCCTGCTATATCGTATACCAGTGATGGCAAACCTTTTAGAGACTGAGTGCCCAAACTGCGACCCAAAACCCATTTATGTATCGCAAAGTGCCAACACAGCAATTTAACCTGAATACTGAAGTTTTACTTTAGAAACTTTATTTCTACACTAACTTAAAAGGATCCAAACAAAGTAAGGAAAGCAACCCCAAATGCTTTCATTTACTTAAAATTATTTGGCAGAGAATTCGACACTTTAACGATGGTCTGGGCCTGGCTGGGGCGATCGCACACATGCCCTCAGAGAGGGCTCTGAGTGCCACCTATGGCACCCGTGCCATAGGTTCGCCACCACTGTCGTATGCCATGGTTTCAGCTCTAAATTACAGCTAGTGCAAACTACAAATTGGCGCAATGGAGTCTGTGTAAGCAAAATGACTGAGGCTACAATCCTCTGAACATCTAAGCCCCACTGGACACTGTGGAACTCATTTCTGAGCAAAGAATATGCAACAGGCAAGCCACCTCAAGTATTACATGTTCATTCCTTAATGAGGTCTACAACCCCCCCCCCCCTACAGACTATCTTGCAATGCATCTGGGGCATAAGCATGCAGTAGCTAGATGCTTAACTAAAGTCTTCCAAGTAATTTCATGGTAAACAAGGCTTGAAAAAATTTTTCGGGAGGCCATAATCAGGTTTTCGTAGGAACAACAGAAGAATAAAAACATCTAGGCACTCAGTTTGTAGCTCACTCGAGACTTTTGTAGCTCTACTTATGAAGATAATTCCCGATTAAGAAGCTGACCTGCTCCTTATCTGAAACTAAAGTAACAATATTTCATAATCACTGACTGTTCCTCCCAGTTCCCCCACAAAGAAAATTAACATGCCATTCTCCTTGGCTTTTTTTGTAAAAGACAAAAAGGAAACTAATTTTCACGTCAAATCAAAGTGCCGCTCTGCTATGCTTCCTTGCTTTATATCAACAGCACAGAAGTAATTATTTAAAACTACAGTCTCTTTCACAGTTCAAAAGAAGTATGAAGTCATGTTTTGGCACCTTCTGGACAGGGGCAGGCAATGTAAATGCTGTCCTTTAACAAGCCCTACATTCCAGACGCCCAATACAAGGCCATGTTTTTCTGAGACCAAAAACCTGCTTGTAGTATGCACAACATGAAAACATTTTATTTACTTATTTAATTTATATCCCACCCTTCCCCACAAATGGGCTCAGGGCGGGTCACAACATTTCCTTAAACAGCATAGTAACATTATAATTAAATAGAACAAACAATTTAAGCAAAGCTAATTTTAAAATGAAATGTATGTAAATAACAGACACGCCAGTGGTCTGAGATCAAAATAAGAGAGAGTAAAGAAGAATAAGGAAGAGCATAGAGAAGGTACCAGTACAATTGTCCAGTTACTGCAAAGAAGAAGAGATTGGATTTATACCCTGCCCTTCACTACCCAAAGGTGTCTCAGAGAGGCTTACAAACTCCTTTCCCTTCCCCACAACAGACACCCTGTGAGGTAGGTGGGGCTGAGAGAGCTCTTGGCAGAAACTGCTCTTATCAGAACTATGGGTTGCCCAAGATCATCCAGCAGGTGCAAGTGGAAGAGTGGGGAATCAAACCCGGTTCTCCCCGATTAGAGTCAGCACACTTAACCACTACACCAAACTGGCTTGCAAGTAATTAGTTTTAAGGCAAAACTCAATCAGTGAAGGCCTTTTCTTACGACTAACCAAGACTACACCATATAGTACTTGAGCTCTTGAGGTCTCCAGAACTCTTCATCAGGGTGGATTTTCTTAAAGAGAGGGGACATTTCAGGCCACGATCTTGAGGTCTTGTCTTTCTAGCATTCTTATGTCAAATGCCGACAGTAGCTCTTCACTGGACTGCACCGTTAGGGGGATATGTTCATTTCCAGGCCACAACCTAGACTATTTTCTTGCGACCCCTTACAACATGGCACTTGGCAACTCCTTGCCTTTCCTACTCCACAACCCCCGCAGTGTTCCTGGCTCCCGTCCGCACCCTCGGTCTTTTGCAAGGCTGAATCGGGGAATTTGTAGCCAGATTGCAGCGCTACTAGCAGATTGCTCTGAATCTGGTTCCCGGCCCTTTAGCCTAAAGGGGCGACCCACCACTAGCTAGAATCTCCTAGGCCAGATTGCTTTACATACAACTCCCCCGCCCCACCTTATTCCCCCTCCCAAGACTGGTCTTGCTCGCTCCCATATTCAACTCTTCCCCAACAAGCACCCCCCGCCCCGCAGTCCAAGGGGCGGAAGGAAGGCGGGAGGGGGTTCCCCGGTTTTTTGTTCAGCATCCCTCACCTGCTCCTGCTGGCGGCGTCCCCGCAGGCTGCTCCCACTTGTCGATTTCGATGCGTCACGGGATGGGGGGCGGCGTTGTAGACGAAGAAGAACCTATTGCAGAAGGAGAGCAATAAGACACCACAGGGGGAAAACAAGGGCCGAGTCACCACCCTCGGCCGAGTCCCGGCGGATACGCTCGGATTCAGTGCAGCTCAGCACGCGTGCGCGGAGGTGGAGCGCTTGCTGGGCATTTCTCCACCGAACGCTGGCGAGGCCTCGGTATGACGCAGGCTCTACGGAGAGGCTGGGGGCTTCACCGCCGTGCAGAAATTAATCTCACGCACGTACACCCGGTTGCATGCTTGCAGGGAAAGCTACCCGCCGCCAGTTCAGCTGGCCATTTCTTGCAGCCCACTCTCTCCGCCACCCCAGTACATCTGCAAGGTGAGTTTCTCCCAAAGGATGGAGAAAACGTGTCTTGCAAAAATGCCTTGCTTGATGGGAGTTGTAGTGAGAGATGCCTGAACGGGAGGAAGGCTGAGCGTCACATTCCAGATGTCTGAAACTACAATTCCCAGAATGTTTCACCAGCCCCCTCCCGCTCACATCTTGTCTTTAGAGAAGCAAAGGATCCTGGTTCTTGTACACACCAACCAACCAACCAAAAGCAAAAAAACCCCGGCGCCATGGGACAGTGATGCACATGCAGTAATATATATAAAAGACCTATCCAGGATACTAATATCCCTTGCAGTTGTTTAGAAATTGCCCTCCTTAAGTTGAGTTCCTTTGGGGGCTGCTGGGAGGACTACAGAAATGAGTAGGAGCTGTGTGTGTGTGTTGCACCTACCCATGTAGAGCTATTTTGCCAAGCTTCTTGTACAGTACTACAGTTTAGAGAGCAATATTCAGGTTTTGAATTAAGAGTGACAGCACAAAAGTATTGACCCTTCCTTGGAAGCCATGCCTGCCTCAGAATCAAGTGAATAGAACTGGTGATCAGGAAAGAGTCCTTTGCACATGCTCAAACACATCCCAATAATTTTCTCCTTTAACACATTCTAGAGGTGAGCCCTGACACTGGTAACAGGTCCTTGGGCAAAGCTTTCACAAGCTCTGGTATATATTAATTCCACCTTGGAGTGGGGAAGAGAGACAGAGAGTGTCTGGGAACATAGGGGAATGTTATAGGGAAGAGGAAGAGGGAATTCAGAACAACCCTTGAAAGGGGACAGTATTCTGTGCTTTAAAAGGTAATGGTTCCCTTGCTCAAAAGTCGAATCTGACTCTAGGGTTGCAGTGCTCATCTCCGTTTCCAAGCTGAAGAGCCAGCGCTGTCCAAAGACGTTTCCATGGTCATGTGGCCGGCATGACTAAACGCCAAGGCGCACGGAATGCTGTTACCTTCCCACGGAAGCAGTACCTATTTATCTACTTGCAGTTTCTTGCTTTCAAACGGCTAGGTTGGCAGGAGCTGGATCTAGAGACGGGAGCTCACTCCATCACGTGGCACTCAGGTCTCGAACTGCTGAACTACCAACCTTCCAGCCTGCAGTTCAGCATCTTAACCACTTGAGCCACCACAGCTGTGCTTTAGGGTTTAGTAAAGGAGCACATTTGAAGGTACCAAGGCATCTAGCATATATCTGGAGATCTAAAGAAACAGCATGATGTTTCACTTGGGACACAAAGATCAGTGGAACTGGAATAATACAGGAAACATTCCCCCCTCCCACTTGAAGTTAAGTGATGCCATATTCTTTGAGACAGTCAGGCAAGAGGAACACGCTTTGTGCAAGAAAGACACATTTTATGGGAGGGGGACATGAAGCAAATGTACCTGGTATTAATCGCTTTTCAACTGACATTAACTAGGACAGCATTTAGCTTCTATAGACTCAGTATTGTTGAAGGATTAGTTATTCTATAAATGCTGAGGCCTCTTTTGTACACATTTACTAAGAGATAACTGATCACACACAAAACCTTTATTGGCATGAAAGCACAAAACATCATGGAAATACAGGAAAATACTAAGATGCATCAGTCACTTACACTTGGCATAACTGATCTGTCATTCAGTATGTATCCAAGATGAGAAATTTCCATGATGATCCCTAAATGTGGTTTGAAAAAGTAGTAAAAAGCCATAAACTTGCTCCTATGAGCATGGCCTTCCCCAAGCAAGCCCAGTATGCATTCATGGACAGATCCTATTAAGGCATGAAGCCTCTCCCAGCCTTGCTGCATTTATGTCCATATGTGCATGAAGAAAGAGCTATATGCCCTATAACTGTCAAAGAAGACCTATGGCAATAGTGAAATTTAGTTCTTGAAACTGTGGATACTTCTGGTAAGTAAGTGGTTATCTCATATTTACCGTGAATACTCAGTAATAAGATAGATCCAGGTGGGTAGCTGTGTTGGTCTGAAGCAGTAGAACAAAGTTTGAGTCCAGTGGGGCACCTTTAAGACCAACAAAGTTTTATTCAAGATATGAGCTTTTATGTGCACGCATACTTCCTCAGATACAATGAAATGGAATTTACCAGTTTATAAGATTAGCTAAATTTATAAGGTTATCATTGTTTTAATTCTGGGAAAAACAGTGAAACAAATATTTCCAAATTTAAGATAGAGTGTAAACGTAGCCTTAATTGTGGAGTGCTACAACAAGGTCTCAGTTAATTATTCGTAGCACTCCACAATTAAGGAAACATTTACACATCTCCAGTTTTGACATATTTATTTGCTTCAATGTTTTTCCTCAGAATTAAATCCAAACAGTGATGATCTTATAGCTTGTTACTCCTGTTTGCACCTGTTAAAACACCTTCATTATGTTGTATGCTAATTGCTGCTCAACCTCTGCCTTATATCTATGGATTGGTAAATTCCATTTCATTGTATCTGAGGAAGTGTGCGTGCACACAAAAAACTCATACCTTGAATAAAACTTTGTTGGTCTTAAAGGTGCCACTGGACTTAAACTTTGTTCTACTCAGTAATAAGCTTTTGGTATTTTTCCCCCATCAAAAAGTCAAAAAAGTGTCGTTAAAAAGAGAAATGTGCATGTATTTTTCCTATCCTTTCAATACATGCTTAAGGCAATGTGGGGATTCTGAGTAGGATAAAACTGTCATCTCTGGTCATATAATCATCATTTAACACTACGAAATACCTAGAGCCAGAAAGTAATTGGGATATAAGTAATAGGATTGCCACTTTATTATTATTTTTTAAACTATCACTGTTTTTGTACCCTCAGCAAGTGGATCTGGCATGGAAATAAATAGTAGAAAAAGTTGCTACCTGCTAAAGGTCCAGGGACAAGGCCAGTAAACCTCCTAGTTGAACAAGCATGACTGTACAATGCAGGGCTACTGCAGCTTTTACAATGCACTTTAAAAAACTGTATGCGTGATGAGGATTCTGTTAAAATATATATGATGCTTAATATGGTATTATTTACAAGCTAGAGCACAGAGAGGGAGAAGTTAGGTGGCATACATAAAGAGACTAAAATGGGGGGGGGGGGTCCTCTCTTCCCAGAAGTCCAACACTACTCTAATACTACAGCTGCACCCAAAAAGGAAACAGGGTGATTTTGGCAAAAAGTCTCTGAAACAAAAGGAAGGATTTTTTTTTTTTTAAGAAAAATTAAAACAAATTAAAACTAAGGACTTGAAGAACTGAACAGAAGACCCACACTTAGGTAAAGGTAAAAATAAAATAAAATGACCCACTAAACCCTCTCACCACTCAACCACACCCGAACAAGGGCAGGGGGAGGAAGATTTCTGGCACTGAATCTGAAGCAAAGGGGAGGGGGGAAAGATTATGGAAAGGAATTAAAAGCTAAATTAGTGCAATAGAGCTAAATTAAACTAAACAACCAAAGACAAAACAGATAACACAAAAAACTAAACTAGAACATAATAAAGTAAAAGGAAAGTAAAACACTCCAAGGACGGAGCACAGCCTTGTAACATCCTTATTGCATGAGAACCCCCGCAACTGTAATACTGTAGTTGCTCCGTAGTGAAGGGAAGGCACTCTGTACATTTTTAAAATTTGAAACACCCGTACTCCACCTTTCTATAAAACACATATTCAAAGCTTGTAACTTCAATTAAAGCAATTAAATAAAAGCAAAAACAGATAAGAATGAAATACACACCATAAAAAGAATCTAGAAACAGCAAATAAAACACACACAAATTATAACAGTGTCCATAAAACCGTGAACAACAGTATAAACACTAAAACTCCTTAGGGCAATCATAAAGAGGCTTCAGAGAATAAGATCAGCAGCTGGGCATATTTACACCAGGTGAGCCATTGCGGGGAAGCAGTTGCACTTGCTCAGCAGCATTTCACCCATTCCAGAGCTCAGCCCTAGTATTGGAAAGCCCTGCTTGAATGATTCCCTGATGCTAATTAAAAACTTTGGCTGTGGTTTGGGATGGGGTTGTACCGTGTGCAGAATAAATGTCTCTGCAGCTGAGTACTCGGGTGGGATAGAATCATTTAACAACAGTAGTTACAAACACAATAAGTGGTCTTAAATATTTCACATAGGGCAATTCAGTCCTTACAACCACCACCCTGGAAGGGATGTCAGTATTAGAGATCTGAAGTCAGAAGGAACTGAAATGGGAAGACTGTGGCTTTCTTAAAGCCACCTGTGGTTGAGTTAGGATTTGTACAAGAAACTTTGACACACACTCTGTTACTCATAGTTATTAATCTACATCAGTCTTCGAAGTTAATAATTTACAATGGTCATTTGTTAAAAGCATTAATGACTTTCCCATCCTTCTTTCTGGGAGAGCAAAGGCAGCCTATAGTCCTGAGCACTGGATCCTTCCACATAGTCAGTCAATGCACAGAGATTAGGGATGATACCTCCCCCCCCCCTGCTTCTTCAGTCTCCAGGTCATCTGCACAGTGCAAATGTGGGGAGGAAGTGTCCACAATCCATGCATATGCTCCCTCCTCTTGATCTGGAACATTCGAAAAGCTTACCTGTGTGTCCAGCTTACCTGTGCTTGCTTTCTCTCTGTGTGTGATGACAAAGCTTTGGGCTAGTGTACGTGTACATGAATCCATTACTGGCACATCTGTTTTGTCCATGTTTAGCATAAGAAGGGAAATACCAGTAGTATACCCAGAATGTTGGGTTATGGGCTCCTTAACTTAAGCTTTGAGAGCCCATAGTGAGGGCAAAACCCTGGGAACAGGGGAGCATAGGCAACTGCTTCCCCACAAAGCTTCCCCTGGTGATACACATACCAGTGTTTAGGCATTATAGTTCTTTATGGTCTTTTAATAAATGCTTTCATTCCGACTGTGGCTGAACGTTTCTATGGATGGCTACAATTTGTATAGTCCTTACTTGCTTTTTAAAGATTTTTTTATGACAGCTATTTTTATGGTGTTGTATTTCGTTCTTATCAGTTATTGTTTGTTTTATGGCTTTAAGGCAAAGCAAACTAGTGCCAAACTGTAGATACGGTTACAGTGCTAGCTGTGGTCATTACAGTCTCTGGATATGTTGTAAAATTAAAAGATGGCCAATACACTTCAGAGCTACCCAGCATCTCAAGCTGTTGGCTTTGCTTTTCTATATCTTAGCCCTGTACCTTTCAAACTATAATAATCATTAGGACTACAGCCTTTCCCACAGTAGGAAATGTTTTGGCGTTTCATAACCTGCTGGTCAGGAGCTCACAGTCTAAATACTGCTCCGATGAAGCGCTTTGATGAGCCCTTCATTTCAGACTCTCCCACAGCGTGTACAGGCCGTGCTTTTTGAGACCGCGAAACACCTCCCTGTAGCACACGCGGCACAGAAAAGATCAAGGAAGTAATACACACACCACTGTCTAGATATTTAGCTCAAAAAAGGATGAAGGGAAATACCGCAGGGACGTTTGGTTCCAGCCCATACATACTAGTAAAACAAACCCGCTTCCATCCCCTTACAAGATGGCAGCTTGCAATCCCTCATACTGTTCTCTCCCCCCGCCCCCCGGCGTACTTTTCTTCTACCTCGTAGGAGACGCCTCACGAACCAGATCGAAAACAGCCCAGGCGCCTTCCGCTCCCCCCTTCCCCGCTCGGACTCGCCCGTCTGGATGCGCAAGCAATTCTTTCCACGGCAACCTCAACCAGGGATCGAAGCGTAAGGACCCTCCCCTCCCCTCCCCTCCCCTCCCCTCCCCCGCGCATTTCTGGAACTCACCAAACGAAGCACCTCGAGCCTTTTCCCAGGCGCAGGGAAGGACGGCGGGGGATGTTCGAGGTTTTGTTTTTGGTCAGCGTTTCTCACCTGTGAAGCAACATAAGCAGCTGCTCGTCAAGTTTTAGTGACTAATATGACTGAGCATGCTTGCTAGCAGAAACTGAAGCCATCTGCCCTTTTCTTGCCCTCACTTGGAGCAAGTTTCCCTATCCTTTTGACAAACCAGATACAATCAAGGCTGCAAACGGTCCACGGTTTTGCAAGGCGATATTTCCGTGAAAGAAAAAAAAAATGATAACAGTAGTTTTACTTGTGTCAAATCTGCAGTGGTGCAGCAAAGATACAGAACTGGCAAATCTGGAGCATGCTCAGTCTGGCTCCTGGTAGTCACTGCCCTTACCCTGCAGTTACTGACTGTCAGAAGAACAGGCAGGGCGTGACAACACAGAAAGGGTTGTACGATTGATTTCTTTTTTAACTATAAAGACTCTAGTTCATAGGTACTTGTAGAAAGAAAAGTAGAACTGGAATTGTGATGCAGCAGAGATCCAGAGCTGGCAAGGATGGAGCAAGTGTGGGCTGCGATCTTAAAGATACTTTCCTGCAAGTAAGCCCCACTGCATCAAATGGCACTTCTTTCTAAGGTACCACACAGTCCTAAAACAGAGTTACACCCTTATAAGTCCGTTCAAGGCAATGAGCTTTGAAGGGTGCAACTCTGTTTTGGATTGCATTGTTAAATGTTCGTCATCGTCACGGCCCTTCCCTAGGAAGGATAGAATCCCTCGGGCTCTCAAGTCCCACAGAACAGGTGCGTGGGGGTGGTGGTGGAAAGTGCCATCGAGTTGCAGCCCATTTGCAGTGACCCCAAAAGGTTTTCAAGGCAAGAGACGAACGGAGGCTGTTTGCCCTTGCCTGCCTCTGCGTAGCAACCCTGGATTTCCTTGGTGGTCTCCCACCCAAGTATCAACCAGTCAAATATCAACCTGCTTGCTTCTGAGATCTGATAGCCTGGCCCGTCCAGGTCAGGGCAGGCTTGTGCATATTTTCAAGTAAATGTTACAGATCAGTCTATCTGCTGAGGGGGAAAACTGCACACCATTCCAATTTGGTAAGTCATGCAGAAGATCCTAACAACGTCTGTCAAAAAGGACAAGCTACCACAGATAAGCCATCTGTGGTATTGTAAGCCCTGTATAAGAGAAGGAAAATATTTCATCAAGCCGCCATTTCACAGTGATTCTGAACAACACAGAGCTTTTCAGGTTTTAGACTGGAGAAGCTGATGGATTTCCAGGGACCTATTCACAAGTGTTTCCCAAAATGTCATCAGGGGAAAAAAATATGTCTAACATTTCTGTCTATGGTCCATAGAGAAGGTTAATCTACTCAGAAGGGGATAATCAGGAGGATTTCTTTGTGAGGGGTTATCTTGTCTAAATTTTATATCTTGGGTACAGGCAAGAAGGTGTTGGTGCAGGCAATTAATGAAAAGTACACATTTCAGATGTTCAGTACACCAAAAGAAAATGCTTCTGCAGGTAAGGAATCTTGATCAGTAAGGTTCCCCCCCCCCCCCAATTCCTGAAGAAAAAGAGAGTGGCGGGCACATACAAGACAGGGAAAAAAGCACAGCAAGGTCCACCTGAATTCCAAGTCAGTCCCAGATTTGCACTGAGCTGAGCATGAATCTATGGGAGAAAGAGAGAGTGCATTAAGTATTTTCCTATTCAAACTGAAGTGGCCAGGCTGGGCTGAGGTGAGGGATGACAGGGGCTACTGGGAGACAGAAGGACCAAGAAATAGCACTTAGCAGAGATCGCTTCTGAATCAGTGGTTTCAGGAATGAAAGCAAATTACATTTCTCACTGGTATTGCCTCAGTTTGGTACACCAGTTTGGGGTAGTGATTAAGAGCGGTGTACTCTAATCTGGAGAAATGGGTTTGATTCCCTGCATCTCCACATGAAGCCCACTGGGTGACCTCAGGCCAGTCACAGTACTCTCAGAGCTGTTCTCTCAAGAGCAATTCTCTCAGAGCTCTCTCAACCACACCTACCTCACGGGGTGCCTGTTGTGGGGAGAGGAAGGGAAGGAGATTATAAACTGCTCTGGGACTCTGAGTGAAGGGCAGGCTATAAATCCAACTCTTCTTCTCTCTCAGGGGAGGTGGTACTTAGAGAAGAAGATGAGAGGTATCACTTTAGTCATTTTCTAGAATTACTCCATAGTGGCTTATTCATTCATTCATTTATTTATTTAGATTTGCTAGGCTGCCCTTCCTTACAAGTACAGCTCAGGGTGGTTTACAACAAAATAATATACAAATCTCAGATTAAAACTAAATTAAAACAGCCCAATAAATACCAAATACATAAAACAGCATAGACAAGATAGCAAAAACACAGCATATATAAGATGGCGGAAGGATTCCAACTCCCCAGCCTCCCTAGGGGGAGGGGTTACGAGGGATGGGGACTTGTGTAAGAGTGCCCGCTGTCGTCAACTGAAAGCCTGGCGGAGCATCTCTGCCTTGCATGCCCTGCGGAATGGTAACAACTCCCACAGGACACAAATGTCTTCTGGCACAGCGTTCCACCAGGCGGGGTCCAGGGCTGAAAAAGCCCTGGCCCTGGTCGACAGCCGGACTTCTCTCAGCCTGGGGACCACTAGGAAGTTCTTATTTCCTGAGCGTATTTCCAGGGGCATACTGGGAGTGGTGGTCCCAAAGATATATAGGTCCTGAACACTAAGGGCCTTGAGGGTCAGAACCAGAACCTTGAACCTGATCCAGTGCTTCACTGGAAGCCAATGCAGCTCGCGCAGCACTGGTTGAATATGTGCTGTCTGAGGGGGTCCCAGTAAGGACATGCGTGGCTGCATTTTGGACCAGTTGGAGCTTCTGGGTCAGGCGCAAGGGCAGGCCCACGTAGAGTGAATTAAAGTAGTCTAACCTGGAGGTGACCATTGCATGGATTACTGTGGTTACGTCGGGGCGAGACAGGTAGGGAGCCAGTTGCCTAACCTGGCAAAGTTGGGAAAATGCCTGGCTGGCAACCTTTGCAACCTTCGCTTCCACGGATAGGGAAGAATCCAAGGTCATGCCTGGGGTCCTGGCAGTCTGTGCTGGTGACAGAGGCACACCCGCAAGAGTTGGGAGCTGGGAACCCAAACGAGGCTGTCCCCCACCCAGCCACAGAACCTCCATCTTTTCTGGATTCAATTACAGTCGACTCTACTTTAGCCATCTCACCACAGCCTCCATACCCTCAGCTCAATTCCCGGGAATGGTATCTGGTCGGTCACCCATCAACAGATATAGCTGGGTGTCATCAGCATATTGATGACATCCCAGCCCGAAACTCTGCACTAGCTGGGTGAGGGGGCACATATAGATGTTGAACAACATTGGGGAGAGAAGTGCCCCTTGAAGCACCCCACATTCTAGTGGGTACCCTGAGGACACTGTCCCTCCCAGCACCACCCTCTGTCCCCGACCATGGAGAAATGAGGGGAGCCATTGCAAGGCTGCCCCACGAATTCCAGCATCAGCAAGGCAGTGAGTCAGTAGATCGTGGTTGACTGTGCCAAATGCTGCTGTAAGATCAAGTAATATCAGCAGCGCTGAGTGAGCTTATGCACAGTTCTATATTAAAAGAGCATTGCAAGGACTGACCTAATGGGCCAATCAGAGAAGCCTTTGCCTTCGGCGGGAACCACTCTCATTGCTTCCAAGCTCCCTGTTCCTATTGGTTGTTATCTATTTGTTGGATGTGGTTTTGCTCGTTCAAATTGTATATAAGTCAGCATTGTTCTATGAAGTTTGTCTTGTGTTGTTATGAGCTGAATAAAATTGAAAAGTAGTGAGACTGATGAGTGATTTCAGCTCTCATACTTTTATTAGTGCAGGACAAGACAAACTAGCCAGCTCGCAGGCCGGCTTATATTCCCTGAAAACCCCACACCCAAAACACACCCCACTCAAGTGATTGGTTATTTACAGTGGCCGAGAGTTCCATGGGCTCTCAGCCCAGATCCTAGCTCACTGATTGGTGTGGGCTAGGATCCGCTTAGTCCATTGTGTTCTGGAGCAAAGCTCGGACGTTTCGCCTGACTGCGTGGAGCCCTTGCCTCGCACACGGTCTGAGATAGATACATTACAAAAATGAAATCACTTGTTCAAGAAGGTGCCTCCATCTCAGTTCATAATACCAGCTGTCTGTGGAGATTGTCTGTGAGGGCGACCAATGCTGTCTCTATCCTGTGGCCAGATAGATCCAACACCGATGCCTCATCCAGTAATTTCTGGAGCTGTTTGGCCACCGCTCTTTCAATTACCTTACCCAGAAACGAAAGATTCAAGACTAGGGGGTAATTGCCGTACATAAGAATTCACATGGATTTTCTTCCATGAGGAAAACTGAAGCTTGGAGAGGGCAATTTTGAACTGGGGAAAAACCCTCCTACTAGAAAAGATTGGCAGGGGCATGATAAGCAGAGTTCTAAGCCCAGAGACAATGGGCTTAGAAGAGTGTTAACTTTACTTCAGATGACACTGCAAAGAGCATCTCTAGTCCCTGCTTGTACACCTTCGTTCATTCTTGCAACTCACCCAGGCTGTTTTTAAACTCCCATAACATGTTACATACTCCCAGTCACGCCCATATTTACTTGAATGGAAGAAACCCTCCCCTGAAAAAAAGATTTTTTATTTTTATTACCACACGTAATTGTAACTAGTATGTGAATTTAAGATACCCTCTTGTTTTTCTTGACAGCACTGGGGGGGGGGACTAGCCTTCCTTTTGGGTAAATAGGGTAATGTTTAGCTCTTACCTAGTGAAAGCCTAATGTTGCAATCCTAAGCATGTTTGGGAATAGGTTTCATTGAAAGAAGAGTGAACATGCACAGTACTGGGTTGTAATAGATGTAGCCATTTTCATCACTTGCTTCAGAAGCAGAGTGTATTTTCTTTAATAGGGTACATAAATAACAAAGACTTTTCATGAAGTCGCCCCTTTGGAATTTGTGCACTCCATGATGAACACACAGATGCATTTTAGGGTAGATAGCCTCATCTCTCTGTACTGTTGTGATGATAATAGCTAAGCTATTCTGCATGAATAAAGCATAAGCATCTTTCCTGTCTGATGTATATTTGATATACAGCAGTGCTATTGACAACTGTCATTCTTTCTACTGTCTGTGGTTTATGAAGCGAGTATTTTCAAGTTTCT